CACACACACACACACACACACACACACACACACACACACACACACACACACACACACACACACACACACACACACACACACACACACACACACACACACACACACACACACACACACATACATACATACAGACATACAGACACCATCGTGGGAATAGTCAGGAAAGCTTCCTAGGACCTCAAAACATCGAGATCTGATGAAAACTCAATTTTCGAAAAACGGGGTAAAAACAATAACTTCCCGATTTTTGAAAATTTTAAATTTTCTTAGCGGGAAGTTAAAAAATCTAGGAAACGGTGACCCTAAAGGTCATCCCTGCAACTTTCCGCTAATTCCATATCTAAGCGCTTAAAATTGCACTCATGCCGTTTTTGAGCTTTTCGAGCTCAAAAGTCTGATAAAAGTTTAATAAAACAGTATTTTTTGAATTTTCAAACCGCAATAACTTCCTGAATCTAAATTAACCCTTTAGAGTCAGAGGATCTTCAAACGTCTTCGCGTGAGAGTAGTGGGGAGAGCGCAAATCCATAGTAAGACCCAAGAGTGGGGTTTCAAGGTCAGACTCTAAAGGATTAATGAACCGCTTTTCACGCGATTGGCATCATTCCACGCAGTTTTTCAAATTCATTTTTCGAATTCTATGATAACTTTTGAACACCAACTGATCCGAACGAAAATTTTAGAGAAATTTGAAAAATTCACTTTTTTCGACAACGATAACTCACGAACCAATCAAGCGATTTTCACGTTCATGGCGGCGATCGACGCAGTTTTTTGGTCTCTAATAATCATTTTATTTTATCAAAAACGATCCAAAAAGAAATGTCGAAGTTATGTAAAAAAAACACTTTTTTCGAAATTTTTCGTTTTCGATAACTCCCGAACGAATCAACAGATTTTGACGGAACTGGTGGCAATCGACGTGGTTTTTCAATTTTAAGAGCTGATTAGTTTTTGGAGTTGATCGGTACGGCCGTTTAGAAGTTATTCCAAAAAAACCATTTTTTGAAAATTTTATTTTTGAGATTTCTCAAAATCTAGCGAACCGAATCGATTCTAATTTTCACGAAATTTAATGGCAATGATACTCTTTGGATTGCTACCTATTTCCATCCGATCGGTTGAGCTGTTCAAAAGTTATAAGAGGTTTACACATACACACACATACACACACACACACACACACACACACACACACACACACACACACACACACAGCCGCACGGACACCATCGCGGGAATAGTCAGAGAAGCTTCCTGTGACCTTAAAACGTCGAGATCTGATGAAAACTCGATTATCTCAAAACGGGGTAAAACCAATAACTTCCCGAATTTTTAAAATTTTCAATTTTCTTAGCGGGAAGTTAAAAATTTATTATTCACGAAAAATAAAAAAGTTGTTTGTCAAAAAATCTCAAAATCTACTACTTCAACGTCATCTAGCATGCGAGCGAAGCCGCGGGTAAAAGCTAGTTAATAATTTATAAATATTAATCAACACTTCGATAACTGTGTAAATACATATTTTTTTAACGTTTAAAAATTCGTTAACAACAGCTGCTATTTACATAACAATAAACAACACAATGTAAAAATAAAAAAAAATGATAGCGCCACTATTACTTTTGTTATGTCATTAATAGCATGGAGTATTAGTCCCAGGATTAAACTTGGTATTTCTGTGGAGATTGAACCAATTTCTTTAAAGTAAGAATAAGTATTTTTACTGTAAAAATACTCGCTCAATAATACTTTGTATTCTGGGAGGAAAAATACGTTTGTTTCAGCGTAAGCTGAGCTCCAATAATTAAGAAAATGATTATCTTTCAATTTTAATAAAGTTTCTTTGACATCAATTTTTCATGTGATTAACAATTAAATCTGTTACTGAAGTAAGCTTTTGAGCAATTAATCAACGATAGCACATGAAGAGAAGAAATCATATATATGGGTCATTCCATGTGAAATCGACAAATAGTTGGAATCGACCCCTTTCGATTTGGACAAATTTTGGTCAGAAGTTTTCTTTTATTTTATCACACAACGAAGTTCTGCCAAAGGAAAAAAAGCTAAAACAAATTTTTTTAAAAGATATGCAAATTCAAAATTTCGCAATTTTTCAATTTTATTTTTGTAATATATCGAACGCTATTATAGATACAGAAATGGCCTTTTGTTTGTTTAAAAGGAGACACCTAGTGCTATTGAAAAGAAAATATTTTGGAAAAAAATTTTGAAAAATGCCAAATTTGTCAAATTTTGAATTTTTGAAAATCGTTAAAAATGACGTTCGAAGATAAAATTTTGGCTCAAATTTTTTTGTTAAATACCTTGTACTGATCTTAAAAGATCCTGAAATTTGTAGAAGGGTGTTTTTTTTTTTTAAATATGAATTTTTGAATTTCCAAAAAAAAAATTTTTCGATTTTTGCAACTTTTAATTAAGGTAAAGTTATGCAGATACATAGTATTGTAATTTTGAGAATTAAGAAATCAAATGCATGACGTGGAAATATTAAATAATAAATTAATTTAAACTTTTTTTTTATTTTTTGGACATTATCTTAAAGTCATCCTTAACGCATGATATAATTTCTTATTTTTTTAACGCATGACATAATTATTTCAAACTGCAACGAATAAACCGATTTTCACACACGGTTGACAGTATTCGACGCAAGTTTTTAAATTCTATGATATTCTTTTAAACACAAATTGATCAGACCGGAAATTCCGGTGTAATTCAAAAAAATCACTTTTTTTCAATTTTTTTTGTCAACGAGAACTCACGGACGAATCAATCGATTTTGACCGGCTTGGTGGCGATCGACGTAATTTTTTTATGTTAAGAGCTGACTAGTTTTTTTAATTGATTGGTAAAGCGGTTTAAAAGTTATTCGAAAAAAACCACACACTGAAAAAAAAGTTTTCTGCTCCGCACGATACGAGATCGCTACTATCACGATCTACACTTTACCATCTAGAGGAGAGTAAGGTTAGGAAAACGGTATACTACGGTAGCTATACGTTTCGTGAATGGCACCGAATAGATCGTGACGGTTACGATTCATACTGCTACTCGTAGCTGTACAGATTGTACTCGTAACGATACACCTTTTACCATACAGTAGATGGCGCCAAGCAGAAAACTTTTTTTTTAGTGCATAGTGCATTTGAAAAAATTTTTTTTCGTAGTTTTTCTTGAGAATTCTCAAAATCTACCGGTCCGAGTCGGTTTAAAATCACAAGAAATCTAAGTTTAATAGAACTCTTTAAAGCTCAACTAGTTTAGTTATAGTTCCAATCGGTCAAGCCGTTCAAAAGTTAGAAGCAGTTTACATACGGCCATACACACACACACACACACGCGCGCGCGCATATAGACATAGGGACGTACAGACATCATCGCAGAAACCGGGGAAGCTTCCTATAGGACCTCAAAGGGTCAACATCCGTTGGAAACTCGATTTTCGAAAAACGGGGTAAAACCAATAACTTTCCAACTTTTGAAAATTTTCAATTTTCTTAGCGGGAAGTTAAATTACGAATCCATAAGTATTATAACATTAAATTATTCAAACAATAGAAAAATAAATTTTACACACTGATAAAAAAATTGACTTGACTCAAGAGCCGAACTCTTGAACCATGAATTCCATTTTGAATAAATAGTTATTTTCGATACATATGCGCAAAGGTAGGGATTTTGACGGCTTGAAGTGACGTCACAGATTTGAGGCTATATGGGCGCATTATTATCAAGTCCGGATATAGTACGAAGTCTTGATGAGAATGTATACATAGCTTCAAACATGTGCCTTCACTTCAAGTTTGTCAGGGTCTCTACCTTTGAGCATAAAGTATCGAACATAATTTTTTGTCATATCAATTGCGGAAGTTGGATTTGAGAGAACAGTCAAGAATGTTCAATTATTGTTTATTTTATTTAAAGGCGCAATAATTATGTCACACGAGATTAAATAGCGATGGATAAACGCACGTATATGTTGAAGTTGTTTACAAGATTCAACTGTCGCTAAGATTCTTTTTGCGACTCTATAGCTTATTTTAGCGTAGTCGTGCAAAAATGTAGAGACAGATAGAGAGAGAGAAGTTACTTTTCGATACTAGTGCGAGGTAAATTAACTAAACTATATTAGATTGTCAGAAATAGTATTCTTTGCGCCCTCTGTGTGTTGCTCGAAAACCCAACTTTCGCGGTTGATATGTCAAAAATGATTTTTCTTGAGTCAAGAGAATAAATTCTTGACTCAAGAAAATTTTCTTAGACCAAGAATAATTTCTTAGCTCAAGAATTTATTCTCTTGACTCAAGAAAATCATTTTCTTCAAAATGGAATTCTTGGTTGAAGAGTTTGGCTCTTGAGTCAAGTTAATTTTTTTATCAGTGCATCCATTTCCACTAGTTTTTGAAATCGGTTTTTAGTAACTGTCAGATGTTTTTGTTGGGGCTCAATTTTTATGTTTATTTTTAAATAAAATAAATACAATAAAGTTAACAGTACAGAAACAAACATAACAAAACAAAGTTGTATTGTATGTTGTGTCTCTATTACAAAAAATAAAGATTTATCTCCATCGGTGTGGGCAGGTCGGCACAAAATCGAATCATTCCCCTTTTTCTATGGTGGGGATAAAATTGAAGGCGTTTCCTGAGAGGCGTGGTAACACTAGAGAATCAGCTTATAGTGAAACGATGAAACGATCACTAGGCTTTAGTCCCCACTGAGACGTTGAATTGCGAGGTACAAACGCTAGTGACTATATGTCATATAATACTCATCTACGAAAAGTTCATTTTGCTTGTGAAAAAATAATTAACATTAAATGTGTTAATTTTAGTTACCATGCCTTAAGTTTCATGAATTCTCAATTAAAATAACGTGAACGTGCAATCTCGATTTGTTAATTAATAACTTGATTGGGGCAAGAATTTTGTTGAAGTAAAGTAATAAACAATAAGAAAGGTTATTGATATCTAATGATGATGCACGCGATGAGTGAACATGCTGGAGGTGTTGGAGGCCTTGGTGTAGGTGTGTTACCTTTTGACGGAATGGGTTTATATGAACAACCGCGTCCAAAATTTGTTTTTAAGATGCCAAGAGTTGTACCTGACCAAAAGGCTAAATTTGAAAGCGATGAGTTGTTCAGACGACTAAGCCGTGAATGCGAGGTAGCGATGCTTCTTAAATTATTTTCTTCTTGATTTTATAAATCTACAATATTATACTATAAAATACAATAATTATTAAGAAACTATTTCCAAATGTGTAGTTAAAAATGGAACCTGTAAATTTTTGCAGATAAGATATACAGGATTTAGAGACAGACCTCTCGAGGAACGTCAAGGCCGCTTTCAAAATGGGTGTCGAGAGGGTCATACAGAAATTGCGTTTGCTGCGATGGGAACAAATCTTCAACTGACCTTCGGCCCTTCCACAGGAAATTATTCTAACGAACCGAGTACATGTGATTTCGACAAGGAACACGGAAAGGTATTTTGGCTTTAATCAGCTTTAAATTTTTCTTGGAAAATAATTATAATTTATTTACATACACACTACGATTTCGCAGTATAGATAACTGTTAAGTTTTACAAATTCTGACAAAAGCCTTAAAAAAATTTTTAAAAAGTAGCTATAATTAAGATATTTTTCTACCTGCATGTTTGTATGCCATACAAACTGTACGGTAAATTGGTAATATATTAAATGTGCTGGTCCACACTAAAATAAATTTTTCCACAATGACCCAATAGGTTCAGGTCATAAAGCTTGACGAAGTTGTATACAAATTTAAACTAACATTGCAGTCAGTATAGTACCTAATAACTGCCTTTGGGACTAAAATCTTGTCGACCCTTGTTATTACTCCCGGGCTTTAACATGAAATCTAACAAACACGATGAATTGTACCGTGTACATAGTATATAGTACTACTATAATATTTTTAGAAATGGGATCATTGACAATTTTCTTTTATCCTCAATTTCTCATTTAAAGTTGAGTTCTGACACCCCCATACTATACATGTTTTCACTGCGGGAGATCGATGGCTTCCTTCGTGTCAATAGGTATATCGTATACAGCGATGACTAAAACTTTTCAATAAGTACACCAGATTGAAACTTTCCGTTTCAAAATTGTCTGGAGATATTCCAAAAATAGCTTTTTCCTTTACAAAACTTAGGTCATAAACTAAATTGTTGAAGATACACGAAAATTTCCGGGGACAACAACTTTCGAATTGAAAAGCGTAAAAAGAGTACAAAGAAATATTTAATGGCTACATTATAAATAGTAAATTTATTTTCACTTTTTTCACAATTTTAAATTAAATTTTTTAGCGCATCATAATGGCGCAGACGACGCCTTGTTCTGAACGCCATTGCGATCGATAATAGTCGCTAAGCTGCCATTTTGAATTTTCCTCTGATAGCTCGAAATTTTTTTGCACATGAAAATATTTTTTTATATTTTGGATTTAATGCTGTTGTTTTATGTTTTAATGTTGAATTATCGAAATTCTAAGAAATAATTTCGGTCAGTCGAAAATTTCAATGCCTTTGTACTTTTCTGCACAGGTATGAAAAATCATAAATCATAAATCTATTGGCATAGGTAAAGGTATAAATCTAAAATGACATCCGGTTATAGTGCATTTCGAGAAGTTTTATTTATGGATTAGAGATTTATACCTGCAATGCTTTTGAAAAAGTTGATGCCAACAAGTATATATAAAACACTATGTATAGAAGATGCTAAAAAACAAAAATTATAGTTCTTTTTCAATTCGAAAATGATAACAATCAGAATTTTAATTAAGATCACGGCACGATGCATGTTGAGTCCCCACCGTTCCCTTTCTGATGCATTGTTTTAACGTTGTTGAAAAGCAAAAAGGGACACGTGACTTGATTATTGTAATACCCCGTGGCGAGTAGAAATAATTACACGCGATAATAGATAAAAAGGTAAGACCCTTTTTCAACTATTCATGAGGATGTATATTGTCGCATAGTTAAAATTCAAATCTTTTCATCTTGAATATCTTAATTTTCATTGATAGAATTTTCATTTTTTCTATTGGTACACAAATATTGCGTTTTTTTTTACTTTTCTAAAAAAATGATAAAAGTGAATTTGCACATTTATCTTTGGAATAAATGATTTAAAATAATTTACATTTATCGTACTTAGCTTATAATATGAAACTTGCCCGCGTTGCAAGGGTTATAATTAAATATCAGCAAATTTCACTCATTATACAGAAAACAAGGTTTATTTAAACCAAGCAACTTTTTTTCAAGACTTAAGTTGTGTTGGAGCAAGAAGAAATTTTCTTGATATAAGAAAATTTTCTTGATTCAACTACATTTTACTTCAACCAAGATAATTTTCGTTTTCCCAAATATTTTCTTGAGCCAAAAATGATTAGTTCTTTACTATTTGTTTTATTTGAGCTCTTCGAGCTCAAAAGTCTAATAGAAGTTTCATAGAACACTATTTGTTCAATTTTCAAACCGCAATAACTTTTGAATGAATCAATTGATTTTCACGCGGTTGGCGGCATTCAACGCAGTTTTTTCGGTTTCATAAAAAAACTTTAAATTTGAATCGATCAAACTAGGAATTTCAGAGTGATTCCGAAAAGCACTTTTTTCGGTTTTCTTTCGTTCACGATATCTCTTGTACGAATCAAGCGATTTTGAACGGCTTGGCGGCGATCGACGTGGTTTTTTATGTCAAAAGCTGAGTAATTTTTGGAATTGATCGGTAGAGCCGTTTAAAAGTTATTCCAAAAAAACCACATTTGAAATAGTATTTTTTTCGTGGTTTTTGTGAGATTTCTCAAAATCTACCGGTCCAAATTGTATTTAAAATCTAAGCTTGGCCGAACCTTTTTAAATGGTGCCAACCGCGATGAAATCGGTCAAACCGTTCAAAAGTTATAAGCGGTTCACACATTTACACACGTACATACAGACATAGTGACAACATTGCGCGAATAGTCAGGGAAGCTTCCTGTGACCTCAATCAAAACGTCGAGATCTGATGAAAACTCGATTTTTGCAAAACGGGGTAAAGCCAATAACTTCCCGATTTTCTTAGCGGAAAGTTAAAAAAATAAAAACATATTTTTACACAACCTTTAAAAAATATATGAATTTAATTTAATAACGAAAAGATTGTAAAAAATGAAAGATATTTATTCATGCGCTTAACTGATCTATTTATGTTTACTTATTAATATAATAGAGTCTGATGGTTGAAAAACTTTTAAAAAATTTGTGATTGCCATAGTTTTATATCGCATTATCATCGGCTGATTCAAGAGAAAAAAATCTGAGAAAAAATAAACGACTTGAAGAATTTTATTTTCCAGAACTTTTCTAAATTGATTCAAGATAATTAAATTCTTTAAAATAATTTTTTTAGTTCAAAGTTTTTACTCTTGAATAATTTTTTCTATCAAAATACTACAGGGCAAGTTCTATAAGCCGATTACGATATGTGTAAAATTTGCACAGAAGAGAGAATTAAATACAAAAATTTTAATAATTAAAAGTACTCAAAATGTTAATACGTTTGATATATTTTAAACTGTTCAAAATTAGACAAAATTAAGATTCTATTTCTAAAATGATATCTTTCAAAAAAGTTCAATTTCAGAGTTTAAGTTATTTTTCAAACTATGTAGATGTGTCCAAATATAAGGGTCAGCTTTTCAAACCAATTAAGATAAAGATTTATCCGATACCAATATACATATCTATATATTTCATTTTTATAGATATACTAGCAATAATAATTTTATCCTGGATCAAATTTTATCTCATCGGATTGAAAAACTGGCCCTAAATGTAATTTAAAATAAATAAGCGTGTTCGAGAGAAAACAACGACGTGTTAATGGTGAGCAATTAATAACAAACTAACTTACCCATATCTTTTTCTCGCTAACCAAATGGTCATGGTAATCCATAATAAATATTCGCCCTTTGTCCATATCAGACTTGACAGAAAAAAAAAAGAAGTAAGGTAACGCCCTCAAGTATGTAGCGTGTCGATTTTGGCTAATTTACCGGTATGTTACGAAAAACAAGCGCCACTATTAAAGAGTTTAAATTTCGATTGTTAAACTCACTCTCTTTTAATATTAAATGGCTTCCCCTTTGTAATTCATTATTTTTTTTATTCCCTTTTTTAGTATTCCTTTTCGTCAAATGCAAATGAGCTTGTGAAAGGGTTAAGCGGAACGAGTTACTGTTTAAATATTGCTGGGTATTATTATGTGACGATAATGGGTCACGCCCATACGCGCCAGTTCTGCGCTCTTTTTTTTTTTTCTTCATACTTTCTTCTGTTTTATTTTTTTCACTCTTTGCTTTATTTTATTGCGTGAGAACAACCAAAGTCAAAAAGGTTTAACAGGCTAAGTTATTAATTATCACGCAAACTTTGTGAATACTTTGATTAATTGTCACTTTACAAAGTTAAGGTGTAAGAAAAAAAAGTTGTTAAATAACCATAACGCATTAAAGGCAAAAAATATTGGTAAAATAGGCGATGAATGACAAAAAACTTTGTACCTTTAATAAAGGGCTCTGTTAATGTAAATATTATCATAAATGCAAATAAATTACAAGTGACTCACTGTGGAGAGCTTTGTGCGTATGTGTTCGATCGAAATTTTTAAAAGTGTAACATACGTGTTTATCAATTGACACTTTGGCAACTTTTCGTGTGATTCAATGATTACCTGAATGAATAAAAACTTCTGAGCCTAGGAGCAAAAAATACAGAGCCACCCTGCTGCTCAATTACAATTCGAATATATGTCCTGTGGAGGTGTCTTGCCGTGACAGCGTTTAAAGAATCAGTGCAGCTGGCGAACCGAGAAAATAACTATAACGTAATGAAATGAAGGCTCCCGTAGCTCTCATGACAACTTTGTTTACAGACACACATACACTTATTGATCTTAAAAAAATATGATAAAAACTTAATCTTCTCTAGAGATTTATAAAATAAATTTATTATTAGATTAACAAAAAATGAGATTTTGTTTAAGACGGAAAATCACTTCAAAATTTCTTGCTCAAACGTCTTGATAACATAAAATGTAGTTAATATTTGAAAGCTAATTTGAACGATTAATTTTTTATTTTTAAATCAAACTAAAAATAAATAAGAAGTTTAATACTTATTTCTCGAGGAGTTTAAAATACAACTGATGATATTCGACTTGCTTTTGGCTTGAATGATTTACTTAGGATCCATTTAAGACTATAGAATTTTTTGTAGACTTCATGTTCTGACTTATATGTTCCTTAAATTTCAAAACAAAAAAAAAAGAAAAGTAAAACGAAATAAAATCTAATTTTTAATTTGTGTTAATAGAAACTTTGCAGGTGAAAAGAATAACAAAGAAAAAAAAAATTGGCCATTTGACAGCCGAAATAGAATTAGATTTCCAATCTCAATTTCGGATCTTTTACAAAAATAACAAGTCTTGATACATAATTTCGTCCAACGATCTTCTTAAAACTTTAATAATTACATTTAACTAACTCAATAAAAATTTAAATATTAAGATCCACACTCATTCTGGTATAAAATATAAGATTTAAAAAAATACATTCAAAATTTTAATTTTATCTTTTAAAAAAATTAATGACAAAAAGTTAAATTAATTCAAAAGAAATAGAATAAGAAAAATAAGAATACATTCATTTAATTCTTAAAACTCGATGAGTCAGGAAGTAACAAAATTTTTTGAAAGTTGCGTCATGAGGACAAATTCAAGTTAGATTTCTATGAAATCTACTAAAAAATAGTTGAGTTATTCTAGATTCAACGTGGGGAAAATGTTCATTGTACGAAAATTCTGATTTAATTTAAAGTTTTTGGTTTTCAGTACTTGGACAGTTCAATTTCTCAACAATTCGAAGTTATAACTCGATATAATAAATGATTCGATAAAAAAATTTTAAAAAAGCATGAATGGGGAATTATCAGACATTTGGCATGTAAAAATTTTCAAATAAATTCATAGTTTAGTTGGTAAAAAAAGTTAAAAAAATTGCACAGATAGAATTTTCAAAAATTCCCAGTTTCATTATATTATATTTTTAATTTTGTAATAATTAAATTACCCTTATATTAAGTTTATGAAAGAGTGTCGGATGTTTGCTACAACATAATCATCAAAAAACGTCCGTTGTGATATAAAATGAGTTTTGATTAATAAAAAAAAATGATTCAAGTCCAAAAAATCAAGATTTAACTTTAAAATAGTCGGCAAATTAAAAAATTTCAAAGAAAAATTAAAAATGAGATATTTTTTTGTACCGGTAAATTTTTTCTACCTTTTTACCAGCTTCTTATACTTCTAGTAGACAATTACGTAAATTATAAGGTAGATTTTCGGCCTCTGGTTACAAGTAAATCATTATGCCGCTTACTTTAAAGCAGTATAACTATAATGCTTTTTTACCATTTTGAACATAAATATAATAAGAAGTACTTAACAGAAAATTATAAAAAAATTAATATAACTCAAGAGTATTTTATTGTATGATTGTTAGGTTCATTTGAAATCACATTTGATAATGAACGGTGTATGCGTAAAGTGGCGAGGTTGGATCGATTTAGAGCGTCTTGATGGAGTTGGATGTTTGGAATTTGATGAAGAAGCGGCAGCTAGAGAGGATGCTCAATTGCGCAATCAACTGAACCGTTACAATGAACGCCTACGTCAGTTTGATGAGAAACAACGGGCATACAGAAACGCGGCAGCACAACAACCGCACCATAATCATCATCTTGGCCATCATCATCATCACCACCATCATCTGGGTCATCATGTTTCGGGAACTAGTGGAGTAACAACACCAGCGGACAAATTTTATTAGAAGTTATTAGATTAATACCATTAGTAATCAATTTGGTTCAGTTAATTGAAAATTTTTATTTTATATTAATTTTGGTCTGAAAAATACATTATTTATTTATTAATAAAATAATTAATGTGAAATTTCCAAATATTCAATAAAAAAAAAAAATTTTTAATTTCCTATAGCCATGGCATTCAAATACATGAATAAAAAAAATTACTTTAGTTCATTATTTTCTCCTTAAATAAAGAAAATAAAAATAAATAGCAAATAGAAAATGATGAGTAATAAATCCATAAATTACACGAGTAGATTTCATAAGCAGCAAAATTGTATTTGATCTTGAAATCAACAATATGAGTGGTATCTTACATGTTAAATGCATATGAATCAGCCACTTTCAAATATCCCAATGAGTCACCTTGTTATTTATCAATTTAAATCTTTGATTTATTTTATTCAACTGTATAATTTCATTGTTTTAAATGTTTTATAAAGGTATTTTGTTATATATTGTAAATATTAGTTAAAAAAAAATAATTAAAATTTTTAGATTTACATTTGTCTTATAAAAATATAAAATAAGGTTCTTGATGATATAATGTGCGAAAATCAATTGTATGTTTATAAAAATGTAGAATCATCTTTATTACTATAGAATTATTTTTATTTATTTATTTGACGATATATGCAGAAATATTTTGAAAAAAATATGAAAATTGATTTCATTTTAAAAATAAAGTATTTATCGAACAATTAGGTTTTATTAAATAATTTGTCATCCGAATAGTTTTTCGAAACGTTAATATTTTTTGTAATCTATTATTTGAATTAGAGTAAAAACCTATTGCTTCCCTTGTTTTAGTTATTAGGATAGATTAAAACGAAATAAAATCATAATAATGTGTGTTCTTAAATAATTATGTCATTTAATCTGACATTGTAGATATCTGGAGGATTTGAACATAATTAATGACCGTTAAATTGGTAATATTTTTTTTTGAAAGTTACCAATTTAAACTTCTATGGTTAGATGAAATTTTTCTTCAGTATCTTTGAAGAAGTTTGGAAATTGGAAGAGAAAAAAAAAGATCAGATAAATGAGGACGAAGGTTATCAATTATCATGGTTTTTATCTATCTATTAAAATAACCCCTTGATAGAAAATTAACTTGATTCAAAAGAATCTTTAATCAAGAAAATCGTTCTCAAAATAATTACAGTATTTTTAATCGAACAGAAAAGTTCTTGAACAAAGAAAGGCTTACCCAGTTCGAAAAATTTTCTGGTTAATTTATAGCGATGAAATTTTTTTAAATGATCATGTAACGTTTATAGATATATTATGTTAGATAAGTAATATTTAAAATGTTGAAATATTTATTTTCGTTACTTATTTTACACGAGTTTTTTTTTGTTAAGTCATGTATAACCATTCTTTTGACGGAATGATTTCTTTGATATTTCCGTAATTACTTGATAATAATGTCCTCAAAAAATATGTCAAAATATATTTGAAATTATAAATTTTAAGATGCAGAAATCCATTTTTTTTTCTTTCAGTCCAGCCATTATCAGCGAGTTGTAATGTTTCAGTCCAATTTATAATATTATAAAAAATTTATATAATTATTTAGCACCCCCGATCCTTTCCAATAGCGGATCATTATTAAATGTTCACGCAGATCGCATGAGCACTAATGTTAGTTATACCATCAACATATTATACAATTGAATGCTGAATTAGTATAATTACTTATAGATCGATAAATTGTAATAAATAAAGTTTTATAATTTATTTACACAGAAAAAACATCGTAAATTGATTTCATTAATTTGGTGATATGTCAAATAAATTACATACATGAGTCATCAAGTGTAGATGATATTTAATATTTAAAAACAATCATTGTTATATTAACTGAAAAATTTTAATAATGATTAATTACAGTTATAATTAAGCTGGAGCGGAATAAGTACCGCAGTGGGGATAATTTTCTAATATCAAAAATCTGCAATAACTGAAAAGTTTTATGTACATATATGCATAGTGGATTTCCAGTATGTCCGAGGCCGAGGGGTCGAGTATATCAACTAACAAAAATAATTAAAGAATCTATTCGAATAACATACATTTTGCACGCATACCTCAACTTTAACAAGGTAACACATATAGACATTTGTTGCTTATCTTTCAAGTTATTGTTTTCAAGTGCATTTTAAAAATTAAATTTTTAGTGGATTCGACGTTTTATCGTTTTAAAAAAAAAGCTTTTCTGACCAGTTTTAGAAAAACTGAAAAAAAATTTACTTGAACCGAGAAAATTTTTCGGATGACCTAAGAAAGTTGGAAACAAGAAGAAATTTTCTTGATTCAATAAAACTTTACTTTAGCCAAGAGATCTTTATAGTTTTCCTATATATTTTCTTTAATTGAAAAAAATTTGCCTTCCAATGAAAAATATTTTCTTTCTATGTAACTATACAACCAAAAAAGTTAATCATATATATATATATATATATATATATATATACCGAAAAGTGGTAAAATTCATCTAAAAATATTGTCTTTTTTAAATGTTAGTGAAATTAAAAAGAAAATTCGAGAATAGAATGTATTTAATTAGAATTAAAATCATACATATATACATGTAAAGTATATATACACATGCATCTATATTTTTGTTTTTACTTACAGCCTGTCTGACTGTTTATATTAGTAAATGTAGCAGGGTGTTAAAGCGTAGAAATCTGGTATTAAAATGTGCTCCCCCATCATATAATTTCAATCGTTGCCCCTTTATTGTTTCAAGGGATGTCTCTGAATCGATTAGAAAGGATCACGAACCCCATGGTCCTGAGTTTTAACCAAATGACTATTAATATAAATTTTGTGCTTACTATTCATTCAAATTTCTTTGAATGAAAAATTTTTGTTCCTATTTATGCACTAACATGTATAGCTCCATGAAAGTAGGATCATATAATATATATACCCGAATCGAAAAAATGAACTTAGATGGAATATAAAACTTACATTGTAGATAAAATAATTGATTTAAGCTCATGTTAGTTCATTTTTTGAATTCGGATACTTACTCTTTTCATCTAAAACAGTGAAAATCACTGAAAAAGAGTGTATATATGGAACATTCCATGCCAAATCGACCACTTTTGACCCTGACCCTTTTCGATTTTTCTGAAATTTCGGTATCTTTCTCTACCCTATTGAAAACAATTTTCAGAATTTTTTCAAATTTTTTTACCCAACCAAAAAAAAGTTACGAGTTATTTAAAAAAGATGGTTTTTTTTTGTTAAATAACCATAACTTTTTTGAAAATTAACTTATTGGGATGTTTTTTTTTTTTAATTTTTGTTTTTAAATGTACTTTTTAGAAAAAAAATAAAAATAATAATTCGGATTCATATTCAACGTTTATTTTTTAATTTTGGAAAAAATACGAAAATTTCGGGATGATGACATTTTTGATTGTCGATTTTTTTTTTTTATAAAAAACTTTAGTATTTTCTGCGAATTTCCTGAAATTTTCAGAGTGGCATTTATTTTTTTTCTATTTTTTTTTAGAAATGAAAATAAAAAAAATTTTCTAAATGTTTGTTTTTGAAAATTTTTCAGCAGATTTAGAAAACTTCAAAATCCGAGAAAAAAAAATTAAAAGTGATAATTATCGATAATATTTTTTAATAAAGTTAAATCAAAAATTAAAAGAATCATTGAATTATTTTTTCGTATTTTTTTTCCAAGATTACATGAAAAAGCAAAAAAATGAAATTGTTGTTCGATCCATTTTAAAACTGTTTTTTTTTTAAATAATTCCCGAATAGCTGGTTAGATATATTTTTTGGACCCAATTCTTTTCCAAAACAAAAAAACTGTGTCGGATGTTTCAAAGTGCTTCAAAATTCATTGATTTGTCCATCAGATATGGCAATTTAAAATTTTCAAAAAATTGTTTTATATAATTTTTATAAAAAAATTTTTGAGATGGTCTGCCACACAGAAAAAAAATTTACTTGAATCAAATAATTTTGAAGAATTTTATCTTCTTGATTTGAGTAGAAAAATTCTTAAACTAAGAAATTTTTCTTGGTTTAAGTAAATTTTACGTAATTCAAGAATTTTTCGACTTGATTCAAAACAATGAAACTCTTCAAAATTATTTTCTTGGTACAAGAATTTTTCTGTTGAATCAAATTAATTTTTTTTTCTAATACTCTGTTCATAATGAAAATAAAATAAAAATATGCAATAGAAAACGAAAAATGAGCTACAAGTAACGTTGTTTGATAAAAAGATTGTTTTTTACTAGGCCAAGAACTTCTTTCTAAGCGATTTTTCTCGAATGCATATACGGCATTTTGCCCAAAAAACAGACACCGCTTAAAAGTTTCACTTCGCTTAAAAGTTTTTTTTCTACAGCTTATCTAACTTCTGTCTCTGTAACCTAAAACCGATCACGATAACGATCATGATTGAATGTATTTACCTGTTTTTGAGAAGAAAAATTCTTTCGAAATTGAAACCTACTTGCATTTCACGTTCTTTGACAACAAAAGCCATTGGAACTTCACAATAGTCAAAGCGTGGCTTAGCGACGACGGCTATACTTCAGCGACTCCCGGAAAACATTGTATTTTAGTACTATAGTATCGATATACTTTCCGGTATTACATTGAATAAGTCGCATCTTATGGTATTCTTAATTCTAGCCTGCATATAGAAAAAACTGTCTTTGTCATAATCGCCCCAATCATCACTGTGATACCATCCTAAAACAAAAAATTGAATATTTTACATTTGAAATCAATGAATTCTTCTGTCTCCGCTGGATTTTAGCAGTAATCAATCATTAATTTCGAAGTCAGAAGCACAGCTCTCTTTTTTTCATTCAGAATTTTCTCAGTGTCTGATCATTCCTAACAACTTTGACTTATGCATTGAAAAATATTTTTCCACAAGAATCAAATTCATCAAACTTTGTTGGTCCAGATAATGGTTCTAAAAAGACATTCTGATCAA